ATTTGCTTCCATCACTCATGATTCTGGTGTCATTTTGACTCTGAACTTTTCCTGACTGCTCACCCCACATGGCCCCATGCCTTGATTAATAATACTCATGAACATCAGAAGCTGGAATTGCCATTCATAGATTTCATAGACATTCAGGCTGGAAGGGACCTGGAAGGGTCATCAAGTCCAGCCCCCTGCCCCAGGGGCAGGAAATCATCAGGAATCATAGGATCCCAGCAAGATAAACATCCAAATGGGTCTTGAAGGCGTTCAAAGTAGGTGCTTGAACCACCTCTGGTGGCAGTCTATTCCAGACCTTGGGGGCTCAGACAGTAAAGAAGTTCTTCCTTATGTCCAGCCTGAATTGGTCACAGTGGAGTTTGTGACTGTTCGATCTTGTCATCCCTTGGGTGCTCTGGTGAACAGACGTTCCCCCAGATCCTGGTGAACACCCCGATAAACTTAGAGGTGGCCACCAGATCGCCCCTGAGTGTGCACTTTTCCAGGCTGAAGAGTCCCACGGCTCTCAGCCTCTCATCATAAGGTCTGTTTTCCTGACCTCTGATGTGGAAGAATGACATCCCGGGATTTGCTTGAGAAGCAGCTATGGATGCAAGCCAGTGTTTTGCTTGCTTTACTAGCCACAGCATCACATTGCAGGCTCATGTTCATCTTGTGGTCGGTCATGACCCCCAAGTCCCTTACATCTGTAGTGCTAACTAGCCTATAAGGATGCTGTGGGTTTTTCCTCCCAAGGTGGAGAACCTTGCACTTTTCGGTGTTAAACACAATCAGGTTCTTGTCCGCCCATTTCCTGAGCCTGTAAGGTCAGCCTGGATCACCCTCCAGTCCTCAGGTGTGGTTGCTTTACCCCAGAGTTTGGTGTTGTCGGCAAACTTGGCCAGCCCGCTTCTGACATCGATGTCTACATCATTGATGAAGATGTTAAGAAGTATAGGCCCTAGGACAGAGCCTTGAGGGACCCAACTGGTCACAGCACACCACAATGATTGACTTCCATCAACCACCACCCTCTGGGTCCTGCCGTGGAGCCAATTTCCCAGCCGGTAAATTGTGGTGAGGTCGAGGCCAAGAGGTGATCATGGGATACCAGATTGAAGGCTTTTTTAAAGTCAAGATATATGACACCAATCTTTTCCCCCTTGTCCAGGTGATAGGTCACCTGGTCGTAAAAGGAAATGAGATTGGTCAACAAATCCGTGCTGGGTATCCATCAGGATATTGCTGTCAGCTAGTCTGTTAAGGATGGCCTCTTTAATAACCTTTTCCAAGACCTTCCCCAGGATAGAGGTCAGGCTGATGGGCCTGTAGTTTGCTGGATCTACTTTCCTCCCTTTCTTGAAGATAGGCACCACTTTGGCCTTTTTCCAGTCTTCAGGCACTTCACCAGAGCACCAGGAGTTCTCAAAGATCTGTGCCAAGCACTGAGCTATGATGCTTGCCAGCTTCTTGAGTACCCTTGGGTATAAACCATCAGGGCTGGCTGACTTGAAGGTATCCAGCCTGTCAAGGTGTTCCTTCATGAGGTCAGCTTTGATTGAGGGTAAGGAATCTCCCTCACCCGGGCCTCCCCAATCCACAGTGTGCAGGGGCGTCCCATGGGACTGGTGAAAAACTGACGCGAAGTACCCATTTAGCAAGTTTGCTTTTTCCTGGGCATCAGTTGTCAGTTGTCTCATCTGGTTTAGCAGGAGTCCAATGTTACCCTTGCTTTTCCTCCGGCTCCCCACATATCTAAAAAAGGACTTTTTATTGTTCTTGATATTTGTAGCTAGCTAGAGTTCAGTTGCAGCCTTGGCTTTCCTGGTTTGCTCTCTGCAGGTCCGGACCAGAGCAGAGTGTTGCTCCTTGGTGGTGGATCTAGTCCTCCATCCTTTGTAGGTCTTCCTTTTAAGATGCAGGAGGTCTGCCAGTTCCCTGGAGAGCCAAGGGGGCTGCTGTGCCCTTTTGCTGCCTTTCCTCCGAGATGGGATAGACTTTGCTTGCACATCCAGGATCGCTCCCTTGAGGAGCAACCACTCATCTTGAACTCCCCTCCCTTTTGGGTTGTGGCTGTTCAGATCTTCCTTTCTTCCATCTGTATTTATGGTATTTTACTGCCAAAATCCAATGAAATCCAAAAGCTTTTGGTATCACCTTGTAGGTATGAACCTTGGTCACATCCCCCTTCATGTTCAAAATCTACCAGTTCCTTATTCATTCCTGGCTCCAGTACCTAACTGTCTCTTTTGCTTCTAAAATGCTTGTAGTCTGGGCTTGAAAACTGGTTGGGTGGGGGCGGGGGTGGTGGGGATTTCCATGGAAACTTATGACAAAAACAAAATTAATATATTTTTGTTTACCTTTTCTGTGGGAATTTTTTACTTTTTATTGAAAAAAATAACCCCCCCCCAGAAAAGTGAGGTTTTTTTGGCTAAAAACTACTTCATTTTCAGCCAAAATTGTTGGCCTTCTGATAACAAATGGAAATATTGGAGGAGAGCAGACAGCTTCCATGAAAATTCTTGTGCGGTCGAAGACCCAGTTTCCTGTAGGAAAAGAGTTTGGGTAGAACATTTTCAGGCAGCCCTGCTCACTTGATTTACTTAAACCTCTTGCTTCTCTTTCCATTCCCTCCTGCTCCTTTCACTCAGGCAGCCTGCAGCACTATACCTAGACTCCTGGAGGCCCTGGGCGAACTTTTAGTATTGGGCCCCACTTTGCCAGAGATGATGATAATAATAAAAAAATTACCATTTTTGGGCCCCCTTTTTGTCTGCACCCCTCAGTCGCCCAGTTCACCCATGCCTGCATCCAGTCCTGGCAGCATGGGACCTCTGGATCACATCCCACAGCCAGCCTTGGTGCTCTTTGAGAGCTGCTGTTTGGTAGCTCTTGGTGGGATCAAATGCTCTATCTCCTTCCTGGCTGATTTTCCAAATTCACAATCAGCTTCTTCCCTGTCCATCTCCCTTCGTTCCTCTTTCCTCCTCTGTTAGTGTTTGACATTTGAAGGATTTCACAGGGGGCATGAACGCCACCTGCCCCCGGAGGTTGTGGGGGGGACAGCGAGTTTCCGCAGGCAGGGGCAGCGCTAAGTGGGGAGCTCCTGCAGGCAGCCGTAGCGCTATCAGTGGTGGTGGGGTGGTGAACACTGACCGGCGGTTGGCAACCACCTGCAGACGACACCGGCAGTGGCGGCGGCAGCCAGCAGCGATTTCAGACTGCCTGCAGATGCCTCCAGCGGTGTCAGCGGCAACAGTGCGGGGTGGCAAGCGGTGACTGCCTTCAGGCGCCACCGGCAGTGTCTCCTTTTCGCAGGGGGTGCACTGCCACGCTCAGGGGGTGCACATGCACCCCTCATGCATTGCCAGTGACGGGGGGTGTGATAGCCATTATAAAGAATAGAAATGCTCTGCACTGCACTAATGTTTTTTGTGCAAAATGAACTAAATAACTGGATTTTGGGGTTTTAGCCATCCTCAGCTATTGAGAGCACGATATACCATATTTACTTGAATATAAGATGATTCTGAATATAAGACCACTCCTAATAACTAGATTCTATATATGGAACATTTATACATTTTCTCCTTCCCTGCTTTACCTTTTGTTTTTTCTAATTTCTACCTATTTATATTTTCACTGACATCCTGTCACACTTTTAGCTTCTCTCATTCCTGTTATCCTGATCTCAAACTAGCTCCTTTTTCACAGGCAGCCTCTTTTCTACCTTGTATTCGATCCCTTTGGCCTTTTCCCCCTGCTTTCTTCCCCCTCCCTTACCTACTTTACCTTTTGTCTTTCTAATTTCTACCTATTTACATTCTCACTGACATCCTGCCACACTTTTAGCTTCTCTCATTCCTTGGAGTCTCATCATCAGACAAGCAGAAACTCCCTGTGCTTGAAGAAGGGTGACTGTGCCCGAAAGCTTGTCAAGAACTTTTTTCCAACTACTCAGCTGGTCTAATAAAAAGATATCACATCTACTCAAAGAACCTTGCCTGCCTGTAATTTTCCAGGTGTTTTTCTGTTGTTTCTTTGACTTATGCTTGAAATTGCAAATTGTTGTGCTCAAAAAATGCTCTCTTTAGAGAATGGACTATTCTTGTCCAAACATTTTCATGACTTCAGTGCCAACACCTAAAGTCTAATATTAAAGTCCAGTAACACTAACCTAGCTTTGTGGTAGATTCCCATCATTGTGTTTGCCCAATGTGGCCCAGGTGTTTTATGGGCATGCTCAGCATGAGCTTCATTCAATCAATTTCTTAGTTGGTTTCCATGACTGAGCACATACTGTTTCTAGCAGCAGCTTAAAGATAGACAATATTTTTAATGGGGGGAGGGGTTTTGCTGGTATATGAAGATATGGGACATTTTTTTCCCCCATGCTGATTGGGGAAAAAATCCCCTACTTGTACTTGAGTAAATATGGTAAATGGTTTGAGACCAACACCTCTTCAGTGGGTTCATCTATATGTATGCATTACTGCGGAGCTGAGTAATTAGCTCCACAGTAAAGCATCACCGTCTACTCGTGCACCCATATTAGGGCTTAGTAAATTAATTAACTCTGCTGTAGGTCCGGAACAAGTACTATCTTATAGCAAAGTAGTTGCACATGCTGAAACGCATGTGCAGACAATGACCAGGGCTGGCTGGGGCATGCGGGTGCTATAGTGCAGGGGCTGCCAACTGGCTATTCCACAATGTAGACCCTTGTGCCCCAGCCAGCCCCTCCACAGCATGTTGAGCCACGGCGAAGCAGCTCCAGGCTGGCAGGCTGACCCCCTGGATCCCCTGTCAGCTGGGGATGCTCCGTCTCAGTTCAATGTGCTGCAGTCCTAGGCACTTGTGTAAAATGCTGCACCCAGGAACAGTAAACTCCAGCACAAACTGTGCCAGAGTTTATTGCTACTTGTTAATTGCATGTGTAGATGCACCCAGTGGGCTCATCTACACATGTAGTTGATCTGGGATCAGTTTACTCACAAGTAAACTCTAATGCTCCTAGGCAGGCATTTACACATACAGGGAAGCAGGAGCAGATTTGCTGCTAATGGCAGAGGCAGGGGCAGAGGCAAGGGCAAGGACAGGGGCTGGCAGGTTATGGGATGGAACTGTGGGCGGCTCATTTAGGGATGTAGGGGGGGCTTCGGCCAGAAGAGGCATAGGGGGCATGTGCCCCCTGGATTTGTGCACAGGGTGGAGGCAATTTGTGCATGGGGCATTGCCTTGGGAGCTGTGTGCTGGCTGAGCTGTGTCCCCTGGCTCCCAGGGTGCAGAGCCCAGTGTGCACTAGCAGCCCACCTCAACCCTGTGCACAAATCCGGGGGGCACATGCCCCCCAAGCCCCCCACCCTGCACCCCTGGACAACCTGCCTGCAGCTCTGTCCCATGACCCACCCAGCCCTGGGGCCCCATTCACCCCAGCCCCTGTCCCACTCCCTCCCTCAACGTGGGGGCGTCGATCTGCCCCCGACCCTTTCCCTGCTGCATGCCCCTTCTCCCACACACTTACCAGCTGGGCAGTGTGTGCATACGTGTGCATGTGTGTGTGTCCCTCACTCCCAAGCCGCAGCCCTGCTGCTGCCCCTCCTGACCCACAGTACCCCACATCCTTCCAGAGAATGCAGGAACCCCCCTCCCTGGGCTCCAAACCCCACACACATACCCACAGCCACCCACACCTTCAAAAATTCCCCACTCCCCAACTGTACAAAGTACCCGCAAATTTTGCCTGAGTTTTTCTGAGCATAATTTTGAGTTTTTAGCTGTGCAATTAAAATCATGATTAATTGCGACTAATTTTTTTAAATTGTGCAACCAATTGCGATCAATTTTTTAAATAATTTGACAGCCCTAGTTTCAACTTTACACCTGAATAGATTTTGTTGCACTTACATCTTCTGCAAAAACTGCATCCCATGCCATGTCACGAATGTCCCATAACTAATTTCTGCAAGGAGATTTCCACGAAGATTTCTGGGAAAAGAGACAGTTGTAGAACTAAATCCATCCTGTTGCACAGGAAGTTGGTCATAAGCAATTTTGACTCATTCGAAATATACAAATCCAAGATGGAGGGGTGAGGAAATTCTGTTACTTTCTGCATTTGTTTAACCTGTCAAGTAGGGGAAGTGAAATGCATGCGTGGTTAAACTTTTTCTATTCCAGGATATAGCAAGCCTTTAGGCAGCATCCTCTACAATATCTATGTGTGGACAGCCACACACTGGGGGCAGACAGCGTGCTGTCATTGATCATCCAGAGATCTCTACTGATCTCCCTAGCTACATATCATCTAGTGTTCTGGTATAGTCATACTTCTATAAATAATGGTAGCAAAGTACTGAATTGATTCTACCACCAGACAGGTTACAGAAGTGTAGACAGACTTCTACAGTATCATTCACTACACATTACATAAAATCATCTGGACAACTTACAGAAACTGCAAAAAAGGAAGAGGCTCAAATGCACGCTTCTCAATAGTCAGGATTTTATTGCAGGACAAGTCCCTGTTAAAATTAAGAGCATGAAATATTAATTGTTTCTGAACTGTAACATTTCCTTTCATTCCCTTTGACATATACAGAAATGACTGTAAGTAGTTATGATTGAATTTGGCATATCTATTCAATATCAGCTTGTTTGTATGCATAATTTATAACCACTCTGGTGACTTAAAATAAAAAGGCCCAACCAGCTCTTTAAGGACTTTTTCACCACTGTTTCATATTTGTGATGTCCATTTTGCTCTGATCCAAATCCTTCAATGGTGTCCAAGCCACTAATGAGTTAAGGCTGGATTTTTTTCAATAAAAAGAGAATGGAGTCTATAGAGGAACACAGATTAGCAGTTATGGAAGGTGGGCCTTGATAACTGCTATACCAGTAGGCTTCAGGTGACTCTTGGCAATCAAGAGGACTGGAGTTAAATCAAGAGACTCCAGCTACCTTAGTCAAGTGGGGCCTTTTTTCCGTTTTTATTGATATCAACCATAATATCAGGAACAGTATCTCCTCACACAGGCTCAGGGGACTCACATGGGAGGTTATTACTATTCTATCAGCAACAGATTACATGACATTTGTTGATGTTGGAGAGCTTCAGTTTTGAAAGTTATGACAGAGTAGTCTGTTTCTTTATGGTTATTTCTCACAACTTCGTCCAGGTTAGTATCAAAACTGTATCTCACATCGCATACTATATGTCATTGAGATCAAGCAGCCAGGTTACTTATAATAAAAACCCGTGTGTTCCATTCAGGGTAAAAGGAAATAGAAAATTTGCCTCTCAATGGAAAAAAATAATCAACCATAATGAGCCTAAACTCAATACAGATTACAGATTACTTTAAGTAACAGCGTGCGAATCTGAGCCCCAAACTCCAAACCAGGGCAATCAGGGTTACTACCCCCCTCTTTGGAGCTTTCTTTTCTTTTTCTTCCTTTATATGCCTCACAGCATGGACAGATGGCATCACACCTCTATAAAAAGCAGTTGACAGACAGTGCAAACTATTAAATCGGGGTAAATTCACTCAAACCAGTGGAGAATTATCTCTGGAACAACCAGGGTTAAACTCCACCAATGTAAGTTACACTGGTTTAGGGGTCATCTATTTGCGTTCATCCTGGGGTAGCTATTTGTTCAAGGCAAGCAGGCTTTTACTTGCTCCCTTGCCACTTATTGACAAAGTGCAGTAATAGCAGCCTACTGTGTGCAGCTACTCCAGGATGGCAGCTCCTTGGACCAGTCCTGATCCTGGTGTAATCTACATGTGCATACAAATCCAGGTACCCTCATATCTGTCAGTACCCCCAGCTTTCTCTTTGCTAAACTGTTGCCCTTGTTCCTCCAAAACCACTTGACTAATCTGGCTCTTTTGGTCATTTGCCATCCAAGATTTAATCATCATAGTCGCTTTTCTAGAGAAGTATGTATTGCCTATTTGGTCTTTTTTTGGGAAGGATAAAAGAGAATGCTACAGTAATTAACCAACAGAAGACAGAGAACAAAAGAAGACATTGCTATTTTTACACTTCATTTGTATCAAATTAACTCTTACACTCCTACACCACAACACAGGAAAACCCAGAACAAGAAAAAACTGATTCTCAAGGGAAAAGTAAAATATTATTTGTGGGTTGGGGCGTTAAAGAGACAGGCCATTTTTCACAAATTATCATGTCCTTTTAACACTTGTAAGCATGAATGTGAGAGGGCAAAGGCTTAGGCTTTTTGGCTTTTTTTTTTTAAACAGGGACAAATTAATATAGTACATTCACTATTTGCCAAGAAACCACAAGAGTCTTCAAAACATATCAAGGATCATCTACATAATTACACATTCCATTGATAGGGAACGGCCTGCTATAAAATCCTAATTTCCCAGTTCCCAGCTTGTCAGGTTTGAGATGGAAAAGCCATGTCCCTTCAAACAGGACAAAGTATGGACTCTTATTTCCAAAGTTTTGCCATGCAGGATGGGACAATGCAGATCCCTGCCTGTGACTTTACATCTGGTTGCTGTGGAACTAATTCAGGATTTCATACATTCAGAGGAAGGTAATAAAACAGCTGAAAGGTATGGCTATGCTGGACAGAATGCACCTGATCTTGGAAGTAGGAGGGGAGACTGCCTTGAGGTCCCAGGGTGTATAGGAGTCATGGCTGAACACTTGGCAAACAGTAAACGAAAGCAATCAAATGAATGACAAACTTCATTCGATCCCATTGCTGCTGCTGAATTGATCAAAGGGAATAAAAGGTGGGGGGGAAGGGAAGGAAGGAGGCGATGAACAAAGAATTAGCCAAGATTCTGACCTCAGATTTTGTCCTCACTGCAAACCTGCTCTCTTGATAACAGCTAGTGGAGACAAGGGGCAAGTATTTTTATCGTGATGTAGCTATCTGAGGTCAGCCCTATGCCTCCAATCGGTGTTGTCTTCCGCTAGCTACAGTGAAGGAAAAGCAACAGTGTGTCTCCACTATATTTTGCACTGAAGGCATTCTCACACTTGGGGTATGCCTATACTGCTCAATTATGGCACTAGGCAATGCTATGGTGAGACGGTATCAACTTCACACATGTTAATCCCAAACTAAAAGTAGTGTTACAAGTGTTCATGAGGGTGGTGTCCATGCCAGTTAGCTTTACCACTCAGCAGAGCTTATCAGTACACATGTAGTGCTGCACTACGGGCACTATATTACTTCTGGTTCAGAAAGTAATGTGTGTGGGAGAGCACAGCACGTCTCAGCACAGTGCTGTAATTTAGCAGTACAGACATACCCATAAAAACACATCTGTTTCTGCAATGATGATACAGACTAGGACAAATGACCAAAAATAGCGTGAGCAATAACATAGTATGAAGTGAAACAAATCTTGTTAAAAATAGCATTGCTTTTGTTCCAAGTTCTCCCCAAGGCACCAACTTTAAAATTAATTGCTTTGAAACAGCCCAGATGATAGTAGCTCACTATCGCCAACAGGAGGAAAGGGATTCAAGAGCATATATCTTTTGTCTAGTACAATGCTTGAGTGAGGAATCCTGCAAATAAAGTACTCCCCCAAATACACACGTACAGGTGCTTCAGTGACAGCAAGCCCTCAAAAGAATCTTTCTGCAGTTTGCTCACACCATTGCCCCTGAGGAGTCTGAAAACACAAATAAAAGAGGTTTTACTTTGCTGTATCAAAATAGAAGTAAGATATATATACAGAGCACAAACTTTTGTGAACCCAAGTACACTTAATCAGATAATGTGATGTGGATCAAAATAATCATTTTATGTTTTGCAAAAGAGAAATAAATACTTTTTTCAAAGGAACCATGTTAAAATGACATCTATTCTTAACACCTTGACATTCAGAACTGTATTTCTCAGAAGCTGTGGAGTCATTTTCATAGGGAGGATGAAGAAGGCACCGGGAAACATGGGTCCCCTGCAAAATACGCTGGGCAATCTGGTGGTTGCGCCAGAGGAGAAAGCAGACCTCTTTAACAAATTCTTCACCTCCATTTTCTTGTGCAGCGACCGGGACCCCCCCACCGTGATTCAAGACAGACTCGAGGGGAACGCCTGCAGACCTAAGGTTGAGGAGGACTGGGTTAGAGTGCTTCTGGAGGGGCTGGACATGTTCAAATCAGCAGGTCCAGATGCTCTCTGCCCCAGGGCGTTGAGGGAGCTAGCAGGGGTTACCGCAGGGCCCTTGGCACGGCTTTACAAGCGCTTGTGGTGCTCAGGCCAGGTGCCAGATGATTCGAAGATAGCCAATGTGGTCCCCATCTTTAAAAAAGGGAGGAGAGAGGGCCCAGGCAACTACAGGCCCGTCAGTCTTACCTCAATCCTGGGGAAACTCTTTGAGAAGATCATCAAGGAACACATCTGTGATGGGCCGGCATCGGAGATGATGCTCAAGGGCAACCAGCACGGTTTCATTAGGGGCAGGTCATGTCAGACCAACCTGATTGCCTTTTATGATCAGGTCACAAAAGCACTGGATGCAGGTGTCACCATGGATGTAATCTTTCTGGACTTCAGCAAGGCCTTTGACACTGTCTCCCATCCCATCCTCATTAAAAAACTAGGCAACTGTGGCATTGATGCCTACACAGTCAGATGGATTGCGAATTGGCTGAAGGGTCGTACTCAGAGGGTGGTGGTGGATGGGTCATATTCGACCTGGGGGGAAGCGGGCAGCGGAGTCCCCCAGGGCTCGGTCCTTGGGCCCGCACTGTTCAATTTCTTTATCAGCGATTTGGACGACGGGGTGAAAAGCAACCTGTTCAAATTTGCTGATCATACCAAAATTCGGGGTGAGGTGGGCACGCTAGTAGGGAGGGAAAGACTGCAGCAAGACCTGGATGGGTTGCAGGGGTGGACTAACAAAAACAGGATGCGTTTCAATATGGACAAGTGCAGGGTGCTGCACTTGGGCAGTAGTAACCAGCAGCACACTTATAAGATGGGAAACTCCCTTCTTAAAAGCAGGGAGGCAGAAAGGGATCTTGGAGTCATCATTGACTCCAAGATGAACATGGGCTGACAATGCGAGGTCACGGTCGGCAGGGCTAACCGGACCCTATCGTGCATCCACAGGTGCATCTCAAGTAGGGCCAAGGAGGTGATCCTGGCAGACCCTACAATGAGAGGCTACGGGACCTGAACCTGTTTAGCCTTCACAAGAGAAGGCTGAGGGGGGACTTGGTGACTGTCTATAAACTCACTAGGGGGGACCAGAAGGGTTTGGGGGAGACCTTGTTTCCCCTAGCGCCCCCTGGGATAACAAGGAATAACGGCCACAAGTTGTTGGAGAGTAGGTTTAGATTAGACATCCATAAGAACTACTTCACAGTTAGGGTGGCTAGGATCTGGAACCAACTTCCAAGGGACGTGGTGCTGGCTCCTATCCTGGGGGTCTTTAGGAGGAAGCTCAATGTTTACTTGGCTGGGGTCATTTGAGCCCAGCTTTTCTCCTGCCCAGGGAGGGGGTTGGAC